AGACGAGCAGCTGAAGGCGGTCGCTCGCTGCTGCTCCTTCATCCACACACACGCAAAGAGCCTGGATTTGCTTTGATGAATCAGTGCAAACACCCTGAACTATTCCCAGCGTCGCTTTGCAGCCAGACTCTGACACTCTTGAACCTGCCCCACGCTGCTGCTGGCAGGGGGGTCGTGGCTTTGGCCACACAAAGGCCTCATGTGGAGGAGCTGCTGGTGGTTGGTCACCCCCCAGGGGCTCCTCCGGTGGGGTTTGTGCTCTGTGACCATGTTCTGCTCCTATTCCAGGCTGGTGGGTATTTATTTCACACTGGATGAGGTAACGCTCGGCTCCATGGTTTCAATGCATGGGAATGTTTCAGTTACAGCTTCTGCCCCAGGCAGTGGTGGAGAAGGGGTGTTGGGGGGTGATTCTGATTCAGAATCACTCTTCAACCCCTGCCTTTGGGGCGATGCACCGCAAGGGCAGCCCCCAGGTCAAGCCCTGCAGTGCTGCTCATCACCCCAGGCACAGGGTCAGCCCCAGCACTGGGCAGATGCTGCTGGGTGTGGGAGCAAACTGGAGGTGCACAGGTCGGGGCTGGACACAGGGCACGGACAGAAGCCCCCGGCTTTGCTCCTGCTGCAGGAGGAGGACGTGGAGTTTCACAGACCTCACCTGTGAAATCACCTATTTTTTCTATTGTGAAAAGTAATTAAGTAAATTTTGCTGAATGTTTTAACGATTCTTCTGGGTTTATTTCTGTTGCTGAGCGCTGGAGCCAGCCCCTAACAGTGCTCAGGGTCCCCCCAGTCCAGCTCTTTGCCTTCCACATCCCTCAGGGCTGCTGCAGCCCAGAGCCCAAACCCTCTGAACAGAGAGAGGCCACCACGACCTGAACCCAAATGCTGGTGTTTAATGGAGCCAGTGCTCGTGCATCGTGGCTGAAATACAGGGGGAACTCTGCAGACACCAGCTCCTTCACCCCCCTGAGGCACCCCTGGAGCACCAGGGCCCTGCTGCAAAGCACTTTGAACCAAAACACTTGTAAATGTGCAGGACAAGCCCGAGCCCTGCAAAAAGAGGACGAAAACCAACCCAAGAGCTGGGTTCCAGCACCAGCTCCTGCAGCAAAGGCTCCTCAGCGCCTCACAGAGCCGCCGGCAGCACAACGTTGTGCTCTTCATCCGTCTCTATCCCCACCTCCTCCTGCAGGAGCACAGTGGGGCTCAGCACCGCGGGGCGCAGCACCACGGGGATCAACACGGTGCCAGCCCCGCAGAGCCCAGCCTTGGGACTTACAAAGAATTGCTTCTTGCTTTTGGGGTACCCCTCCAGGATGGCGTCCAGCAGCTCGGTCGCCTGCAGGGACAGGGGTGTCCTGAGCCAGCAGAGTGGGGGACAGGGGCTGGGTGTTCCCAAGGGACCCTGTCCTTGGGCACTGCAGCACCCAGGGGAGCACCGTGGCACCCCAACCCCAAGCACAGCACTGTCTGCTCCGCAGCTACAGCCTGTGGTCTCCTCCCTCAGCACCGCAGCAGGGGGAAGGGGCTCAGCTCAAGCAGGGGC